CTCAAATTTGTGCAATGAGCTGGGATCCGGGAGTGCCCTGAACCTGATCGGGATTTGATGTGCGCCGTGTTTCAAAGTTGAGTAATCGACGCCAAGACAAATCGAAACAACGGCTGGAACTTGGTAGCTAAACGACGATTCCTTCTCTCTAGTTTTCATGGAGAGCGAGTCATTCATCTAGAATTTTGAACAATTTCCGAACAACTTATCTTTATCTTTTCTAAATTATGTAATATTTGTCCGTGACAATATTCGTGGACCTCTCCAGGTACTAACTACTGTACCACCATCCCATGGATGGATGATTCGACTTTTTCTTGGCACCGAATTTGAATCCTTCTTCAGCAAACATTGCAACTGTACATCTTTTTTGAAAGATACCATCTCATCGAATATCAATTCTTGCCTTCAATCTTCATCACAATGTTCGTGAGTTTTCAGAGTTCCCATACATCCGCAGCATCCATATCATGTTCAACATGCGAAGAATTGATTTCATTGATTTTCGGTTTCGCCATGCCGTGCATTTTTGTCATTCTACGTTTCAAATTTTCTTCCGAATCAGGTTCCCTGGAGACGAACTGCCCAATGCGAATAAGATGGTTAAGCTGCAAGTTTAAAAGAGACTTACGCAATTTCTAAGAAGACAAGTTGCTGAGCCTCATATTGGCTTGATTCTCACTATGCGCTTTTCGGTAACCCACGTCTGCAGCGCGCTGGTCATTTTGAATGCATTCATCAGTGCTATAGCTTCTACTCTTCCGTCCTCAGTCCTCTTTCCTCTCTACATTTATCCTGATGACAACTGCACTGCTTGGACGCCTCTCTTCTCCTCGTATGTCTCGCCCAATCGTACTTCATGCAGTGTAAGATAGCTAGCTAACTTCGCATCTTTCAAGGATCACGACCTACACCACAATCTCTTTCATCCTCATCATCAACCCTGACTCAGGCCCCGACGGCACACCAGGGTCACAGCCCGACGCAAATTTCCAGAACTGTGTTGCGCAGCTACGTACTGCAGGTGAAGCTGCTGGTGGGAATGTCAAGATGATAGGATATGTGCTCACAGGATATGGGACGCGCAATTTGACTGATGTGCAGAACGATGTGGATACATATGGCGGATGGGATGAGGCATATCGCCCCGAGGGCATTTTCTTTGATGAGGCGTCGACGGATGAGAGTGTTGTTGCGACGTATCAGGGTTATTCAGATTATGTTAAGGCAGGTGCTTTGGGAGATTCTGCATTTGTACGTTCTTTCAAGAGTTTGTTTGGTGGCTCCCATTTACTAAAGTTTGTGCTATGACCTATAGATTACACTCAATCCGGGCGTTTGGGATTCCGACTCTTCGACTGAGTATTTCTCCATCGCCGATCTCATCGTCACATTTGAGAATACGTACGACAATTTCAAGTAAGCTTTTTGATTCTTGGGTTTCGTGTCTATATCTCTCTAATGTACTCCACACAGCGCCTCTGTGCTACCTAACAGTTCTGCGACGCCTTTGAGCAAGCAAGCCGCTATCGTACACACTGGACCGACCGATGTGCCGACCGCAACCTTGGATATTCTGGTTACTCTTGCCGCCAGCTTCTACAGTGACTTTGACGCAGCGGATGCGTACGAGAACTTTCCGACTGATTGGACAGGATACCTTGATGCGCTTGTGTCAGCTCAGGCTGGCGCAGTAAGCACTATAGCTTCTACTCTTCCATCCGCGGTCCTCTTCCCTCTCTACATCTACCCTGATGACAATTGCACTGCCTGGGCACCCCTCTTCTCCTCGTATGTCTCGCTTACTGTCCTGCAATGTAACATAGCTAACTTAGCATCTTCGAAGGATCACGACCTACACCACAATCTCCTTCATCCTCATCATCAACCCTGACTCGGGACCCGACGGTGCACCAGGCTCACAGCCCGACGCGAATTTCCAGAACTGTGTTGCGCAGCTACGTACCACAGGTGAAGCTGCTGGTGGGAATGTCAAGATGATAGGATATGTGCTCACAGGATATGGGACGCGCAATTTGACTGATGTGCAGAACGATGTGGATACATATGGCGGATGGGATGAGGCATATCGCCCCGAGGGCATTTTCTTTGATGAGGCGTCGACGGATGAGAGTGTTGTTGCGACGTATCAGGGTTATGTGGATTATGTGAAGGCAGGTGCTTTGGGAGATTCTGCATTTGTACGTTTGTTCATGTGCTTGATCTGGGACCATATGCTCATCATCGCTCTGTCACAGATCACTCTCAATCCGGGGGTGTGGGGATCCGACTCTTCGAATGAGTATTTTTCCATTGCGGATCTAATTGTCACATTTGAGAATACATACGCCAACTTCAAGTAAGCCCTCTGAGTTTTTCTTGCGGCGGTTTATGCGCTAACCAGCGAATGCTACTACGCATAGCGTCTCTGTCATACCCAACAGCACTGCCACGCCTCTGAGCCAGCAAGCCGCCATTGTACACACCGGACCGACAGAAGTGCCCACCGCAACCATTGACATTCTAGTTACACTTGCAGCTAGCTTCTACAGCGACTTTGACGCAGCGGACGCGTATGAGAACTTCCCGACGAATTGGACCGGATACCTTGATGCACTTGTGGTAGCCCAGGCCTGATTTTGACCCCAATGCTATGAATGAAAATTATAGAAATTAAAGAGAAAGTTAGTTTTGTCCCAGGATAACGATGTCTACCGATTACACTTGAATATACTCGATTACCTTCCTGGTTGGTCGCCGCAAGGCCACTAGGTTGGCAAAACGCAATTGACCTAATGGTCAGACGTTGATGTGCCCACGTACGCGCGTACGCGCGTATGGTATAAGGGTGGAATAAGTCCATGTAACACATGCGCCAGGAGCGTATCTATCTATGCTCCTTGTAGTTACACAGGAAGAGATGATTTATTGTAACCTATAGTTTATGACATTTGTGCATCTGGCGGCACGTATGTTAAACAAACAGGTTGACGAAAAACAGCCTTTTGTTCAATGCCAGGCCGTGGCGTTGTAGTGTAGCGGTCATCACTCGAGATTTTGATATACAAACGCGGTACGACTTATACCTTCTCGAAACCCAGGTTCGATTCCTGACAATGCCTCAGGGGACCCATGGTTCTAGGTTTTTGCTGTTATTTGACATCTTGAAAGATACACAAGTGCGAATGTAGACATAGGTATCTATGCTCCAGCGGAATATTCGTCGGTGTATGTGGCGTATGGGCTTTTCAGAACCCTAAGCCTCCAATCGGTCCTCAAGACCACAAAAAGTTCCCCTAGACCGACTAAGAACAGCCCAACAACTTGGCCTGCTGGGCCTGTCAATAAGTATCTTGCCATCAGATATGTCACTCACCTATCCACAAACCCTGGAGACCAAAATATAAAGGTCCATGGAATGCAAGGCTTATTCCGAGAGGCAACGCAATCACATAATACGCAACAAAGTTAAATACGGCGCCAAGTCGCTGTCGCCCTGAGGCAGTTCGTCAAACCAGTAGAGAACTCTCGACGAAGGTAGTATTACCTTGACCGCGCAAAACACCGCCGCAAGAGTTTGCCAACCCGTCTGCTATCTGGAACGATGCAACTAGAGGCATGACTGATGCCACAAGATTCACCACATCTTCCTCGTCACTGAAAAGGCGTCCGTAGACCTAGTTTTATTTCATACAATAAAACAAAAAAAATCAACTTCAGAACGACGTACGTCCTTGAAGCACATAAGGACCGCCATCACAACGGCTCCGACAATGACGCTTAGGATGATAGAGGCATGGGCCGAGCGTCTTGAACCTGGGACCGATCGTGATCCTATGTAATTGCCTACTCTGGTCGTGGCAGCTACCCCAATACCGAAAGGAATCGTGTTAATGACTTCGAAAGCTAGAAATCAGTATGTTTACAAGAACTAATTAAAGGTCGCACTTTGATCAGTAGTCATGATTATTGATTGGGCAGCAACGGGCAATTCCCCTAGTCGGCCAGCTGCCAATGCTACAATTTCAAATGCGGCCCTAAAGCAAATTTCAGCCCCATTGAAAAGAAATCGAGTTTTCGCCTCACCATTCAGTTCCCACCATCAAAATACCAGGCAATGCAAGGCGAAGGAAGGACCAGCAACCCTGGATATCCAGAAAAATGTCAAGTCTAAAACCACCCCATGCAGCATTCTGTGCGTGCTTTGGGGACATAATTGTTATCACGGACAAAAGCGCAATGCAAAGCCAGTATGTAATGGAAAGTGCTACCGGAGAGCCCAGGAGTCCGAGAGAAGTGCCGTGAATGAGCGCCATGTTCAGCATCAGATTAATGGGAGAAATGATGAGGAGTACAACGGTTGAGGCGCCCATTATCCCTGTCGTTTTCTAGGTCAGAGTCTAGCTACTGCACATAAAATATTGATGCGCGTCTGACCCTGACACTAGGAAAGATAGAACGTGGTTTGGATTGACGGCACTGCAACGCTGAAAAGATGGACTCACTTGCAAGTACTTCTTGAGAGATTCGAATCCAATATAGCCCGGAGCGCCAAAAATTAGGACACGCAGAAATGATTGCACTTCCCTGCTGAGGTTTTCTGGCTGCCCAAGCGCAAGAAGCACAGGCTCGATGAAAGCCCAAAGAAATCCAGTAGGAATGAACAAGAAGCAAAGCAAAACCACACATCGCTGTAAATGAACGGATAAATCAGTTGGTTTAGGCCCAGTAAAGGCTTGTGATCCAAGCGTATCGAGAGCGGTAGTTCCACCGAGCGCCACGCACCAGCCTGAGGATTGAAGAAAGCCATGGGATCATCCTCCTAAGTCAAGATAAGAACGACTCGCCAGTGACAAATGCTATCATCATCGCTATCGCAGCAACCGACAATTCATTCTGGCCTAGACGACCTGCAATTACGATAGAGACGGTTTGAATGGAATTTTGCAACGTGTAGGAAAGGATGACTGTCGGAGTTACAAGCAGAGCCATCAACGAAGTTTGATCAATATTGTCTGAATTTAAAAATCAACAAATACGCAACCTGGCAAGGAATCCCATAAGATCGACCAAACGAATTTCTGCAATGAGATATTCGACATCTCTCCGTAAAAAAATCGCATATTTTCCGATTGGACGAGATTGGGATGATGAAATTCCGAAGCTGAGGGTCTGGAGTTCCCAACATCAGGGCTCGAGCCTTCGCTGTCCACAGCCTGCAACAATGGCCTTATCTCTCCCACCTTAGGCCTTTGAGACATCTTTTTGTTCGCGAAAGGATCAGATGGGTCTCGTTATTATTGCAAGGCTTTTATGCTCTGTATTTCTTCCGCCTCGTTGCAGAGGTTCACATGTCCTGGCGTACCTTCTATCTACAAAAGGCCATCCTATCTTCTCGCCATCATCCTGAACCCCCTGAACCCGGTATTTTCGTGCCTACCCCGTGTATTCTTTATCATATGAATGGCCTCAAGGCAAAACACGCAGCTTGGGTCTCCACCTTTCCGCCTCTATGACTGCCTGTATCAGTCAGCAAACACAGTCATGAGGCACTGCCTTGTTCCTCAGATACCAAAAAACCACCATATGGCAAAGTTTATTCCCAGCTATACAGCCTTTAAAGACGGAACTTGGAGTTTCTGTCCCATCCTGAGCTGCTTCTTTCTCCGTCTCGCTCACTTGAAGCATGGTTCTGAATCTCCTGGTTGCTCTAGCTGCGTCTTTGGTGCTACAAGATGCACTTGCACATAATTATGATGACCAAGTACCCCTCGGCTACGCTCGTTTCCCTGCTGAAGTCTACCGAGGCTTTAATGGCGAAGGTATTCTTTATTGCCATATTGAATCATCCAAATGAAAGACTTTCTCTCATAGTCACTGCGGATGCAGTCTTCGCTGGTATCACGACATTTGCGAAATTACCATGGGTCCAATGCCTCACACGTCAACGCGATGTCCCTGTTGACATCGCTATCCTCGGCGCTCCTTTCGTACGCTTCTTTGCCCCTCTAGAGATGCAGACAACCGTAAAATCTTTAAACAGGACACCGGTACCAGTTATCGCCCAGGAGCTCGTTTTGGACCTGGTATTTCTTTATTTTGACCCTGGCCTCTTCCATTGGATAACGTTGATTGGAATAGCTGGCATTCGCGAGGGCTCCCGTAGGCTCACGCTATACGGAGGTTACAATGTACCCCTAGGAGTAAATCCTTTCAATTCGGGTCTGAGAATTGTCGACTGTGGCGATATTCCAGTTACGTGAGTACATATCATATTTTACTTTCGCTTTTAAATGATTTCCTATGTCAGGCCATACGACAATATGTATGCTATACAGCAGATTGAAAACGGACATAAAGACATTCTCCAGCGAGCTGCGTTCTCGCCGCTTGGAAATAATTCACTCACTGGTGAACCACTTGAACCGATTTCCCTTGACGGGAAAAACCATCCTCGTATCATAACTCTGGGTTTGTGGATCTGTTCTGGTTCTCCATCCCGAAGCCTGATGCATTGATGGACAACAGGTGGCGATCACACTATTGTTTTACCCCTCCTACGATCCATCCATTCTGTTTATGGTCCTATTTCTGTTATTCATTTTGACTCGCACCTTGGTATGGAACCTTCTCGAAGTAAGTTGGTGCTAGCTGACATCGGACAACTATAATCCTCAGACACTTGGAAGCCTTCGGTTTTTGGTGGTGCTCCCTCAGACCAAGCTGCTATAAATCACGGCACTTGTTTCTACTGGGCAAGCCAGGAAGGACTGATTAGGAACGGGTCATCAATTGCAAGTATCCATTATTTTTCCATTCTATGCCGTTTAAGGCGCCTCTGTCGTGCCCTGTGATCCTAGTTTTTTGTTCTTGCAGCACGGTGCCATCCGGACAACTCTCTCAAGTATTGATGACTACTACAATGACGACGCATCGGGCTTTAAACGTATTGAAGCTCGTGAAATCGATACAATTGGTGTGGGCTGTCAGAGGTTTTACGGCAAGCATATCTGACTGTTTCATCAGGAACTGAAGGAATCGTCAACAAAATCCGCGAGACTGTGGGAGACAGACCTGTCTATCTGTCAATCGATGTTGGTTATCTCGATTAAGGGCAGGAAGCTTGAATTTGACATACAGTATTCGATAGATAGACTCCATCGATCCCGCGTTTGCACCTGCAACCGGAACACCGGAAACAGGTGGCTGGTCCACGCGGGAGTTGCGAACTATTATTCGGGGTCTCGATGGACTAAAACTTGTCTCTGCTGATATCGTCGAGGTCGCCCCTGCCTATGATACGAATGCTGAGGTACGAGCCCAGACTTTTTGTAACTCCATTCACGCATTGACTTTCACTTCTGTTCAGTTGACCACCATGGCTGCGGCAGATGTGAGTTCATCCCCTGCAAGTTATATATGGTTTGTCGATATGTAATATCCTTCCAGGTTTTGTTTGAGGTCTTGAGCATCATGGCAAAGAACCCTCTAGGAAAGGTCGAAAACAAGGTTAACTAATAAGGGAGAAGTGTAATATGCGCACATTTTTTGTAAAAACTTTGTCTAAGTAATTCATCGGTTTTAACTCCAAAAGAAACCCACTCACCTCGAAAACGTAAGTTACTAAGCGTCGACACCTGACAGTCACCAAGATAGGTTGACAGCCTCAAGTTGGTAACATGCAAAAACGAAACTGTGACTTTGCATGCAATTTCGTAACCGCAGTGGCTAGCTCCACAGATTCTGGTATCCTGCCCTGACATATGCAGGATACTGAGGCTCCGCAACAAGACGACAGACATATCACTGTCCACATAAGACATTTTCGAAGCGAGAGACGAGGATAACCGTCAATAGGGAATATGATGACCAGAGGCAACAAACTGCACGATGGAAGAGTGTACTGCTGCTGAGTTGTGCGCAGTTAGAAGCTGATGGGGCTGCGACATGCTGCGTTGTAGATGACTTAGTTCTCACGAATTATCCGGAAGGGAAGGAGGTTACGAAAACAAACTGCTGGTATGGTTCGTTAATACAGAGTGAATTGAAGGAAACGAATGACGCACAGGACAGCGGAATTACCTCACCGCTCTAAATTACGGATAGGTAGCAATGACAATAA